AGTTCATTGAGTATAAAAGTCCTATGAGGAATAATCAAAAATTAGGATTTTTTAAATTTTCATACACTAAGTTCGTTTTGTTTATTTTCATTTTCAAAAATACCCAAATACCAACTTTGATTGAGGTCGAAACTACTTTTCGCACCAGCCTTGTTGAGCCGCCATCTTGGGATATGAATTTTCTGACAAATGTTTAGTAAATCATAATCTGTGGTCGTTCCTGAGAAAAAAATGAAAGAAAGAGCGCAAATTTTGGGCATTTTTCCCCATTAGTTTATTTAGAAAAGAATGTTTTGGTTCCTTCTACCGCCCATTTTATTTTCCATACTTAATGCACTTAAGTGTATATACGTAACAAATAATTTTTACCTCAGCTTTGAGCTGTTGAATTTTAATCTATATCCACCGAGGAAAGAGTATACAGTAAACACAAATGGTAAATGTAAGCTCTACAGTAAACACAAATGGTTCCAGGTCTTATTGTACCATGCTTCCAGGAATAATTTACCGCGCAGAATCTTGCCGTGCCAAAAAGAAACATTTACAGAAATGCATTCCAGTGATATGTAGTACCATAGTATATTTATTGTGGACAATAAACGAATCAAAATCTTCCCAACCAACAGTTAAACAATTTCAGTGAAATTCGGTAAAGATCTTGCACATTTTGAAAAATTGATTTTAATTGCCTATGACTCGGTAATATTTGGAGAACTTAAACTCTTTAGAGGTTTTAGGTGAAAAAGGTTTTGCGGCCATTAGAACTGTACAACCTTGTAAATGAACACTGTTGTAAGTGTCTTCAGTAGGTACATATCAATTATAATTACAGTGATTACAAGCCATATACATACGTATTTTTCACCATTTCGTTTGTGTGAAGTAAAATGGCTTAAATATGTGACTATTTCAGGCTGTTATTTACAGTATACGGACTCTAGGGTGATGAAAGTGGAGTAAGCCTTTCATCACGCTGTGTAAATTGTTATGATGGAGATTTCAATTTTCATAATAAGATGTGGAAGCATCTTACTCTCAGTTTATTTCAACCGTTTCATAAAAGCTTAGGATTGTGGTAGAGTATATATCAAGTAAAAAACGCCATCGAGCGCTAACACCATTCACCCTTAACAACCTCTTAAAAATAATATGCGGATTATTAAGAATATTGTGCGTAATCCCATTTTTACGTGTACTTGGGAATAAAATGGAATAATTCGAAAATCCACCAAGATTTTATTCTATAATAATAATCGTTTTGTCTCGGTGTTTCTAGATATGACCCATAAACGAGACCTTAATGGAGTCTTTATTAAATGGATACTACTATTTATAACACCACAACCCCACATTCTTAGCTTATTGCAAATTCCCCAAGTATCATTTACGGATAATGAAGTGATGATAGAGCTCGTATACATTTTCCTCCCCCTCTTCGTCCACGTTTAAATTCTTTTCATAACTTTTATTAATTAATGACCTATAAATTAAAGGAAACGCTTGAAATTTGAACATTAAAAATTAAGTGAAGTAATTAAAACAACTGATTTCTATAGAGCGCGTTGCCTCTGTAAATTTCTTGAGTGTCAGTAACAAAAACACCCACTTTCAACTAATATAAATTTAATCGCGTCTCCGCCGAGACCGTTTGCTTAAAAATTGCTAGTATTAGATTTCTATTCGGCATAGGTGTTAAGTTACTGAACAAGTAATAAACGTAGAAAAGAAGTTCTAAGTTTCAAAATAAGATTCTTTTTTCAGCGCTGGAGAGCAACAGTACGAACTTAAACGCTAAAGTATCCGTTTACAAACGATTACCCCGGTTGGTTGTTGAAGTTTCGTATTACACTGTCGTCAGAAAAAATAGGGGGAAAACTAGGAATTTTTACTTGGTCGCTACAAGAGGTAACTTTTTATGTGACAAAATTCTTGAATTCTTGCCAAGCGATCCCACTCGCAATGTCCTACTGTTATCATGTCTCCCACAGATAAGCCATATATTCTAACATATTGTGTAAGACAATGCAGCCAACATATATTCAAACAATGGTAAGCGTCAGTCTTGCAAGAGGGTGGATATAAATTTAATAACGTTGGAACCATTAGCGCTTTATTGTTGATGCGATCATAAAAAGTGAATTTTTAACAACGTTTATAGTCCCATTTTGTTACTTTGATAGTTATGCTTGCATTTCATCACGTGCAGTCTTCCGAACGTAAAATGTTTAAGATTTTCAGGATATGAAATCCTTTTATTGTGCTACCCTTACAGGAATGCAGAATTGAAATTTTGTAGCTTGAATTTTATTTCTGCTTTACGCCACAATTTGATGGAAATCAATTATCCTGTGAATATTGTGAAAAATAAAGGATACATTGTCCTCAAACACAATCACGTCATTTCGGATTTTCATCAATTTCAATTTTTGAACGTAAAATTACCAAAAATACAATGTAAAGATCTAGAGTTTTGACGTTTACCCTAGTTTCAACCCTTTTTGCTTTACGTGCATGGTGCAATCTGCAGCGATTTGGCACTGTTTTAATGTAGAGTCGCTTGAAATAAGATGTAAAAGTAGTGTTGCTTTTCTTTACAAACTCTTACACAATAATGTAAATTGCTCATATTTATTATCATCAGTTAACTTCCATGTACCTCCACCGGACTAGAAAACATCACACATTTTATAACGATATGTCGCACAGTAACATCTTGCAGCGTGCACCTATTCATGTTATATATGTGCAACAACTTTAATTTAAGATGTGTAGGCTGTGACATACATTTTTGTACATTGAAATGCGTTCTTAATTATATAAGGGATGAATAGTTTAATTTAATTCGTGTTTTCTCTCTGTTTTTACAAGGAAAACTGTTTATAAAATTAAATAATATTAAAGTTCATTATTGGTGCCGCTAACGCACAAGGCAGTTTGGTGAAAAGCTTACCTAAGAGATTTCCCCAAAATTAAATCAAACCGTAATAAAAATCAAGTTAATCTGGGTGTGTATGACGTGTGTATAACGAGCAAATCAATCAACATAGAGAGCAAGCCATCAATCTTCAAAATCCAACCCAAAGAGTGGTCGCCGAGAGGCTGTTCCAAGCCGGCGAGTTTAATTATGCCACCCTTTAGAAACCATCTGATATCTACCCCAGATTGGCGAGTCAAAAAGTTAGCCGTAAGAATACCAGATCTTCCACGTCGGAAACAAATTGTAAATAAAAAAGGTTAGTTGTATTTATGCATTGTGTCAAATTTACTCGATAACTTTAAGATCCATTCTCAAAGATAAATATTGATCCTATACAGCGGATGAATCTTGCTAATCAACTGTGAAGCGAGAGATCTTAAAGGAGTCGAAGAAAGTGTAAAATTTTGTAATTTTAAGGCGTGTTATAATCAAAGGGACCTCCTGAAATTGGTGTCAAGGCTAATTAAATTTTCTTTTTCGGAATCAAATATATTCCAAAAATTTCACCGTGAATGAAACCAATTTGTGGCAGTAAAATGAAAATTCAGATTAGATCGAAGTGAAAAGATACTTACCAAAGAGATGGCCATTTCAAGGTAAATTATAACTATCCTAAATTGTGGCAGGTGGACAATGAAAAAGAAAGAAACCCATTGGTAGAACATTTTCAGATAAAATAAAAGGTCTCTCACGTAAGCAAGGGGAGTTAAAAGAGGTGCACACTCTAGCACCATGGCACAAAGGACAACGCCTTATTTTGCATGTCATTCTCGTGGACACTGTGGCGGTATCATACATAGACCAAACATCAATCACCGCCGGCCAGCTAGTGGAACTTAAGCAACGAAGAAATACGAAAAATATTCCAGCCTAAAATCCAACCATTTTTGTTTAGCTTTTGAATCCCTGGTAAAAGTTGTCCTACTTCAAATAATATCCCTTGGCACGTGAAAACGTGCCAGCCAGCCAGCCATTATTTGTATGGCAATGTTAACAGTCACGTTTAAATTAATCAGAGACATTTTTACATTTTAACATAAGAATAGCTTGATTTTAAACATTCCAATCAGCGGAACCTATATCTAAAGAAAGCACTGCAAGGAGCAAAAGTTAAGAAATTACGAACATTACGTTCCAGTAGAAGCTCCGAATTTTTCAGTTAGAGAATAGAAATTGTATTAATAACCAGTTATGATTAAAGTAAAGCTATACATTTTAAATAGTAGCTTGATGATTTTCCGTGTTACCTACTTGACTTAACTTGAAAATCAAGCATTTAAAAACTGAGTACTTTTTACTTTATTTCTTTGATAAGGTTTTGTTTCAATGACAACCCCGCTTACGACAACTTCTAAGGAAATTCACCTTGATACATGTATATAGCAAATAGTCAATAGGGGTAATTTTTGTGGTATTGTTGTTTCTCTGATACATTATGCTTAAATGATATAAAACAACCCTTCAATTACTTTCAAAGAGTTTTTCTGTTGGGCAATAAAAGAAATTTAATTTAATTTAAATCCCACCCTGTTTTCAAATTACGTAATTTTTTTTAAATTAATGTAGTGATTTCGTCAGGTCGTTGACTAATTTTAACTCAAAATTGTGTTAGCCATCCAAAAAATTAATAATCATAGACTTTACACTCGTATGTATACTTGACATGACTTGATTTCAAATCGTGTTGAATCAAGTAGCTTGAAAATCAAGTCAAAAGTAGAAAAACCCTACCTTTGAAAATTGGGATCGCCTGTTTTAAGTTTTTGTTGATATGATGTGATGTCTATAACTAGTGCGGTTGCATTTATGACTCCACTCAGTAATTCAGATTTTTGAAAACTTAAACCTCGACCCATTTTCTCTGATCGTGATATTTAAGATAATCATAGGGAGCTTTTTTTAATAACATAACAAGGAAGCTTTCCTACTTGGTGCATAGAAATCCACTCACGCAAGTAACGCATCCTGTTTATTAAACCCTATTGCACAAAGCAATTGAACAACACATTGAAAAACACGGACAAATAATCAAAATTCTTGCTTTTGAAGCATTTCTTGCAATTTTAAGCGCTGAACTTTACCAGTAGGAGTTAAAGGAATGCGTGCCACTATCCTCACTCCTCCCCTCAGCCGCTTTTTATCCTCAACCTTCCCTTCTACGTAACATACGAGATCATCGGCCGTTACCTTGGGTTGATTTTCTAGTAACTCGACTAAACCGAATGGATGATTATCGTCGGTCTCATGGGGAAGGCCCAAAACAACCGCCCTTCCGACCGACGGATGCGCCAAAAGTACGCTCTCAATCTCTACTGGGCAGATATGGTGGTACAGGTACTTGAAACTTTCTTTAATTCGACCAGTGATGAAGAAATACCGCTCCTCATTATAGTACACCAAGTCACCCGTCTTCAACCAACCTTCCGAGTCGAACATTTCTGACGAGTCCCCGATTGTAGTAACCCGAGGTTTGGCACGCCGACCGTATCCTCAGCTCGCCTTTCCGATTTGGCCCTAAAATTTCTTCGGTATCTAGGTCGACCACCTGAAATGATTTCCATGCAGATCAAAACCGCGACTAGTAAACTTTACTTTGTAATGAAAACCGGCAATGGGGAAACCGACGGAAGTTGGATATCTCACGGTAAAACTTCTAGAATCTGCACTGTGTGGAAAGTGAAAAATCTCTTCGAATACTTCCGTTTGACCGTAAAGACTGTGAATGAACGCATCCGGAAACTCAGTTTGAAGTTTTGCGATTTGATCCGCACTTATGGAGTTACCAGCCATGGCTAGTTCCTTTACATTAGAAGGGTCGGTAAATGGAGGCTTTTGCGTTCTTACAAAAGCCATACATTCGTTCGGACCTAAAAAGGTATAGTCCATACGATAGTTCAGTATCGACCAGGGATTCATCGCGTCGAAGTCCGAGAAGACGATTCTAGTGAAACCGTTTGTTAGCGCTTTAAAAGCGAAGACGTGGAAGGCTATCCAGTAGGACGAGGAAAATATCGCAATTCGTAAGTTTTCCTTTCGATCACTAAAAAGCTGTTTTCGGAATGGATTTAGTCGAGTTGTTGATACGTACGAAAATGTGAAGTTTGAGAGCACAGAATAATGGGTATGACAAATTCCTTTTGGTCTACCCGTCGTGCCACTACTAAAAATAACGATGGCCGTCTCATCAAGGTTGGCCACTTCTCGAGGGCGAAATTGATCTTCTCGGCAATGTTCGGTCAAAAATTCTTCGAAAGGAGTGTGCTTTTCTGTTGCACCAAAAACTACTATAATTGGGTCATGCGCCAACCTTTCAGCAACTTTCTCAACCAATTCAACGGCTCCCTTATGTACGAATATCATTTTTGGATTAACTTGCTCTAGCAAATAAAGGTTTTCTTCCACTGACATCTCTTCGCATATTGAAGCCGATATCGCTCCTATGAAAAATGACGCGATGTACGGCACGATACAATCTACATCATTTGGCGAACATATGGAAATAAAATCCCCAGGTCTAATGCCCTTAAGATGCATTGTAATTGCAGTTCGAATGCACCTCATTAACAATTGGTTGTAGCTTTCTCCCACACCCGTATTCCCATCGACCGAAAGTCAGAAAATGTAAATCGAAAATACGACGATTAAGAAACCTGTGCGATTTTTTCCCCATTTTTGAACATGCAGTGGTAGCGTATTCTCCGAGGAGATTATGTTACGAAGATCTGAAATCGATTCGCCAATATTAAGGTGAATGGGTGAAATATACCTACTCACTTTGGCTTTCGTTCGCCATCACGCCACAAGTGAGAATAACTAGTTCTGAATTTAATAAATGCTTATGTCGCAGGATGGTTTTTGTCAACTTTTTACGTTTTAATGAGCCAGTCAATGCCAATGTAAACCATAGTCCTGGTCATTCAATGAAAGTAATTCGCGTGTTTTTAGTTTTAATGAGGCAATATACTAACTTAAAAATATATTGAAGACAATTGGTTGTTGCTTTGCAATTTAGCGCTGCTATTACTGATTATATATGATATTTATAATAGAGAAAATTGGAATAAATTAGAAAATTTGGAGAATAAAAATTTATTTTCTAAAGATCTCGAGACTTTGGACGCAAATAAAAACTTGAAGAGGCAGTAAGTATAATATTGACCAAAAACGAAAATCAATACCAATAATAAAGACATGATGAAAATGGTTGGTATACCTCACAATGGGGTAGCTCGATCCGGAATGGTAGTGGTTATGGGGAGATTTCGTGTATTTACCATTCCTGACCAATAATAAACCTATCTGGGAGTACACAAATTACTGCGAGTGTTAGAACTAGTAGCAAACATTGAGTTTTCAAAAAGAAAAGATAATAAAGAATAATATTCAACGATAATGTGCTAGTTTTAGATTTACATTTGTAGTGAATTTAATTCTTCATTTTTAATTAAAATTCTGCGAATCCCCCTCGGTACTAGAGTTCTCCACAATATTTTAAGGTAAATTTCATTATATCGTTTATTTATTTACAAATACTTAACAACAAATTTATAACAGTCTTAAAATGGGTTACTTTATGGCTAACAACATTCTTTCTATAATGTTCTTAGAATGTTCTCTGGAATATTCGCTGCAACATAGAAAGTTTGTTACTGTAGTATTAAGGGTGTAAGACCTAATGCTTTATCTTTTATAGCCTATTGATATCACAGACATTAATTACTTCAGCTACTTCAACATTTTTATCTAGAAAATACTTGTGGGTTAACCTCGTCAATAATGGACCTAGTGTTGTGTTACTACCTTTGCAGTTTACTTCCTAGTAGTAAAGTGGTATACACATTTTCTTATTATTTTGCATTTCCTTGTTATTTTTGAAGATTATATTCCCATAATTTTGGTAGTCGCTTTAAATATTTGCAAATTTGTTTATTGGCAACTACTAGTTTTCATTACATATTATTAAAGAGTGCACTTTTTGGGATGCAGGAGCATAAAAACTTAATATTACATAATCAAAATTATAAGAAAAACTCAAATTAAGGAAAATGTTTTGATTTTCTAATTTTACTAGTTTGCGTTGAAAAAACCTTTTATTAGTTTTGTATGAAAAACTATTTAAAAATTTGCAACCAATCTAGAAACTGAAATACTATGAACAGTGGCATATTAATACTAATATTGTTATATTAAAGAAAACTTCATTCTTATTATACCTCACGAAAAATATGCCGACCCAAATTATTGATTCTTAATGCAATTGATTGCTTCGGCATAAATTACAAAAGAATAACTTTTTTTCAACGTAAACAAGGGAAATTATAAAATTAATTCAATCAATCATCATTGATTAACGCCTAATTGTAAAAACTTTTTTATAATAAATTAAATACAACAGAAATTATAAAACATTCTGTACGTTTCTATACCTACCCAAAAAGCTGTGCATATAAATAGTGTCATTAAAAAAAATGTTGTATATGTTTTTCGCTTCAACTGATTAAATAAACATGAAAAACGTGATGAAATTAAAAAAAAACTCGCCCATACAGAGTATGAAACGAAATTTCAATTAAAACAACATAAAGTTGCATGAAGCCTAAAAACATTTCCTTTTGTTACAGAAAGGCCACGCCTAAACGTCGACGATTGCCCTCTGGAAGAATCTGATTCAGATCACGAAGATACTAAACGAATTCACCACGTCTCCCCCACGCCCACAACCACACGAACATCAGTTCCAACCCCGTCTCCTCCCGAAACCGGCACGTCCCCTGATCCTGATCTGGACGTGGAAGAAGAGCAACAAACTGAGGCACCTGAAAATTTGTCACTTAAAAAACCGGCAAGTCCCGAAACTATACCCCAACAAGCCCCTTCGTACGTACCTTATAATCCCTTCCCGCAATTTCCACCATACATGCCTCAGTTTCCAATGCAAAGATCGCCCGTGGATATTCTCCTGCGAGTATTTCCAGGCCGACGGAGGGCAGATGTCGAGGCAATATTACAACGGTAAGATAAATCATGCAGCTTTCTCCTTTTCACGTGAATTTACATATTTAGATGCAAAGGTGACGTCTTGCAAGCGATGGAGATGATGGTAAGCGGTTACCAAGAAGAAGTCGCAGCTTCCTCTGCCTTTTCACCACTAGGCCCTCCCCCAAATTTCCACCGGTACAGCCCATCGAGAAGATTTTTATCAGCACCATACGCGGGTACGGGTTATCTACCAACCGTAATTCGGCCACCGTCTGACTATGGCCTCCCGATCGTGGGTCAGGTACATGATATTTATAATAGCGAAAAAACGGCCACCTCATCCCCCAGTTCAAATACGGGATCAGACAAGACATCCTACTCCGAATAACCTTTATGGGTGTACTGTGATCCTTAATTTGACTAAAACAAAAAGGGCACCGGGTTTATTTCCCAATTCATTCTGGATACATTCGAAGCCTTCTAAATTCTAAAGGAACGTGAGCTACTAGAGAGGTGCCTGATCAAGAACAGAAGTAAATTAATTTTAATTAAAAAGTCACTTCACAATTTGATGACAAATGCTGCGATCGTACGATACAATTCATCTTACGAAATTAAAATATCTATGAAACAATTAACAAAAAGCGTTTGAAATTTCCAGACGAACAATCGCATCAAAATTTAATTATAAAATACATATGAATCAACTTCGATCCCTTGTATTTCATTTCATGAAGTCCCCTAAAGCTCGTGAATACAACATGAAGCCAGTTATTAGGCTTCTATTGTTAGCCTGTAGCGACCAGATCATATAAATTATATTGTAAACAGTGGCGTGTGTTCAGAATCATTGTCTGTTATAAAGTGCGGCTATTTCCGCTTGTTAACTGAAATACCCGTTGAAACGTCGATATTAAACTATTACCAATCACATTTAGATCTCTAATTAACACATTTATTATTCGTATTTATTCAAAGTGGGAGAATTTATAATATTTGTATATAACTGTACATCTGAATAATACTAAGAGATTTGTTATTGCCAAATTTATACATATGATGTAGGAGTAGTCGGGTAGAGTACCATATAATTCTCATTTTGTATAGACTATAGGCGTAAATGTACATAATCTGTATAAATTTAATATTTAATTATATTATTACTACTACACCTTAAAATTGTGTAAAATTCGCCAGTATAGCAGATGTTAAATAAATTGTTGTACAATGTAGTCACTAGATCATAAATGGTGTACGCTGTACTGTGTATATAAATAAACGAATTATTCAAATGATTGTAGAATTTCTTTTAATCAGCTATAATGTTTTAAGAAGGATGCGAACTAAACCTTACTCGAAAAAAGATTTGGACATGGTTGTGGACAAATGCACCCCGAGGTATGGAAAGACGGTAAGTAGAAAGCAACCCTCAACACTATTAATATAAAACAATAGCACATTTTTTTTAATTCTTAAAAAATGCGCTAATTATCTGAGCGATTTCGTCTATACATTAACTTTATTGGCTATTTTAACGAAGAGAGCTTCATCTTCGGAATATTTGCTTATTGTAAGTAAACTTAGCCCTCAAGAATATTGTTTAGTACGAAAAATTTACCCACCCCTTTATTAAGGCAAATCGCCCTTGAGAGACAATATTCCGCCAAGAGTAATATATAATTTTCTTCAGGGTCATTCTTTTTTGGGAAAGAGTTTTCTTGAGAAAAACTATTCCCGAAGTGAGATGCACTTAGGTGCGACTTTTCCAAAGGAAAAGTTTTCAGGAAAATATACATAGGAATTTTTCCATGTCTTGGGAACGAGCTTTCGTAAGGATCCTTTCCAAGGACAAGCATAGGAATCATGTCACGCTTTCTAAGGACATGAAATTGGTTCAGTCTAAATCAAATCGATATTTTACCATACAAGGCGTGTTTGGGAAGTAGGGTGAGGAAGTGGCACTCATGAACTACGGCGACTATTAAAAACCTAGTCTGTAGTATAAAGTGCTCCTAAAACGAGAAAGTTCTCGTGAAGAATGTATGCTAGCAAGATATTGAAGTAATCACAAGATACAATCTAGTCAAAAACTAGTTCGCCGTATAAGGGTGAATCCGTAACCTGTCGGTACGTGGGTGATCTGGCATAAGTGACAAACTATATTTCATGGAACTTTATACACCAATGGTTAAATAATTTAAATTCCCTTAGAATAAAAAAAGAATCGTGACGTATCGACTTACCGACCGATAACGAATGCCTCTATCTTGAAATGTTAACCAAAAAGCTTTTGAATTTATAATTTGCAATTTTAACCATTTCACGTTAAGGAGAGCCCAGACTATTCGTACGCTCATGCTAGCCTTACCTGTGGCATTCCCGAATAGTGTAGACGTGAGGGTAAATCACCAGATAAACCACGCAAGCAGCACAAGTCATTAACTCGACAGGATCTGCCCAGTGTTGGTACATCAAAGGGACTTGAGGCAAGTTGTGCAAAGCATGTGGATTCACTAATGAAATTCGTTCCACTACGGAAAACTGATGATATCCACCATCTACGTTTTTGAGGACGTTTTTTGGGCTTTCCTTTTTTGGATTCAGCAGGAAACTGGACACACCTTACAGTTTCAAAATTATAACTCGTTATTATCTTCAGTTTGTAACTGGAAATTTTAAAAATTTGAAAAGAAAACTTAAAACTTCGAACCCTCTTCTTAATTTAAATTTTTTAGACGATGGTTCTAAGTGGATAATATTTGATTTCATAAACTGTCAAATTAGGAATAAAAAACCAAAATTTTCTGCTAAAATCTTGTGGCTTGTTCGGCCGTTTGTATGAGATATACCCAGCAGTCCAAGAACACTGCCATGCGGGGCTCCAGAAGATTTTGAAGAGCAATGTTTATTCCCTCCAGTATTTTATTTATTTATTATCCCTCTCTAGTTCTGGGCCCTCAACAGGCTTACACCCAATTACAGAGTGACCCGCATAATGCTTTTTAGAGGTGCCGCTGCATAAGGTCTTAAGTTGTTCTATACTACTCCGGTATTTACCTTCGAATTAGGAAAACTGCAGGAAAACCTAATACGGAGTAGTCGGCAGAATACAAGAAAATAAAAACCCATCTACTTGCCTGATTTTTTCCACTGATTCTGATACTGGACCATAATTGTGTGGTTAAGAATATGGGGGAAGTCCTAGTCCAGTAGGCGTAAAAGTGGTAAGCCAAATTTAAAGACCATTCATTGATAAATTTAATATATTTCGGTTGACGTTGCAACCTTCATCAGAAAAATATATTATATTGGTCCGAAACTGGTGATCACATTAATTAGATTAAATTTATAACACATAGCTCTATTATTAATAAAATTGACTAGGATGTTGACAGATTACATATTCAAAAAAACAAAACAAGCCAATAGGCAAAAATTACGACAGTTCCATGCGGCCAACAGGTGTTTTAAAGAAAATAGGAACAGGAACATATCCACCTAAACATAGATAACGAATTATTTTACACACAATTAAAAAAAATACAAGGCTCTCACCGAAATTACCATCTACTTGCGTAAATGTTTCCATTGATTTCGGACACTGAACCATTCACCTAAACATAGATAACGCCTTATTTTACACTCAATCGGCATTTTTTAAAGAAAATAAGAACACAAGATTCTCACGAACATTCCCATCTACTTGCGTAAATTTCTCCATTGATTTTAACACTGGACCATTCACCTAAACAGAAATATTTAGTATAAATAAAAGTTGTTATTATTATTCAGGAGTATAACTTACCAGTTGAAAGTAAGCCATCAATACCGTTTCGTCCTTGACTTGCCATTGTAAACAAATTTCGTACCCCTTCTCCTAAAGGTGTTTTGACTTCAGTGGTAATAAATTTACTTTGGCTTTTTTAGCCTGTAACGCCACATTTTGTGGCTTCACGTCAATTCGAGCAAAAATAAACAACCCTTAGAACATTTTCCAGTTTTTTCGTTGCAAAATGAGTGAAAAATGCGTATGCACTTCTGGCATTACTTAATATTATTGCCCTCAGGAGCCTTACAATCCCTCGGGCCAAGGTCCTCGGGCTTTCAATCTTGTCGCCCTTGAAAAGGGAATTAACGTTATAGTAATACCCTTGGTATATAAGTAACTATACTATTCCAAACCATATAATTATTACGCTATCGTATGTTTTATCATCGTGCATAATAATTTATTTTATTTCATACTATCTAGTAATCGCCGCTTTCCCAGACTGATTTGAGTCTGGTAAATCGTATTTTCTCGTTTCGATTTTCCTGCCTCAGCTACGCTTCGGCTCATCTCACTCGTTAGCGTAAACCTTGATTTACCATACTCATATGTAAATAACTATTATTTTTGGTATTTTAGTATATATTTCAGTTTCACCATTAATAAGCTAGTTATTTCTGGAATTCTCCACCTTTGCTATAATTAAAGCCTTATCATTTCAATTATGCACTTTTTGTTTATTACCAAAGGAGTCACAGTCAAGAGCCAATTAGGGATTTAGTTATTAAAATAAATAGCAATCGATTAGTAGGTACTATTATTACTAGGTCAATTTATGAAAGTAAACGCACTTTCAATAAAAAAATACTCATTCACAATAAGCCGCGTGAGGTAGAAAATATACCCCCGTAAACTCCATACGGCAGCGTGTTAATATAAACAACACAAATCACTGCATATACTGACTACTGAGTGCAGAAACAATGGCACAATACCGCTGTGAAGTGACGTGTATTACATTGACAGACTACGACGTGTCAAGTCGACCTGCATTGCTTGTCAATTGAATATGCTCTTTGATATGATGTATGTGATAAGTGATAACCAACGGTCATCCATCAATGCTGGTGACACTATTATATATTTGCACCGCAATCTTACGAAAAATTTATTTAACCGCTCTATATTTAGTACATCTCATAATTTGGTTCTGCCTATAATAAATTGAATTGTGACAGTAATATTATGAAAATCTGTAAAAGTTGAAAATATTTAATATTAGCGTCTATTGCAATAGGGAATTCTTTATAATAGTGATCAATTTAATACAGTTTACGCTTACTACTATCCATTATATGTTGGGTCTTTTTAGTTGGTGTATCCCCAAACCATTTAAGAGTAGGAAGATACACCGATAAAATATCGAGCGTCCACTATATGGGTGTTACAAGTATAAAAGTTAGAACATATTTTCAACGCTTTCTCGGTAACTGTTGTCACTTGGTTAAAAAACTATTTTGCATTTTTCCATAGTCCTGAGATTCCCTTTGATACCTACTCACACAGCTTTGGAACCTCATTTTTAATTTTCAGGTTCATCGTTTGTTAAACAAAAAATAAAAATGTAGTTAAAATGGCTGAGGTACATGAGCAGCACATTCTATTGAATTGAAACAGAATTTAACGCAGATAAATTCGGTTCTGACTTACAGACCAAACGTGATATCGCATTTTTAAGAAAAATGCCGTTAGCTGTAAAGTAGGTATAGTGAACTTTTGTATTATACTTTAAGTATTTATTTATTAAATGAAACAATATAAAGTCTTTGGTCATTCTCTGAAAAAAATGCTTTTAATAGAAGATGTACATATCTGCATTGAGAACTTTTTAAGATATCTACTGAAATCTTTCCTGATGTGGTTCAGCTTTTGATATTTATGATATAGAGGAACAGGAAGTTACAGAATCTTATGACAGAAGTAATGTAAGAATTTCAAATGTTTTACGTGTAACAAGAGTTTTCAGTCCAAAAGGGAAATAAACATTCATACTCGTCGAATGCATTCACACACTGAAATAACATCAGCATCACAAGATCAAAATCTTTCAAATAACAGTGATCACACCATCAATAAATCAGTAGTGGAAAATCTTGCTAATGCCTATAATGCAGAATCGAATAATCGCAATATAAACATTGATCCTAGAAGTTCTCTTTGACTATCACGAAGGGAAAAAGTAATTGACGAAAACAGTATGACTTACCGAATAGCAGAATTAGTAATGATTTTGTTCAAACTTTAGCTGACCAGGTTAATGGAAAATAAACCTCAGAACGCCTGTTAGTTTTCATTGCTACAATATTACAAATAGGGAAAATGATAAAACGTGGTAAAGATATTAGATTCCTATTAATTCGCCACCTTTCTGA